TATTGGGAAAAAGAATCTTGTCCTCCTTGAGACTGCATGTCATTCAGAGCTCATGAAAAAGTAATTATAGGGTTCTTTATCGCTCTTTTAAAAACTAGGGCAATATCTAGATTAACAATTTGTGATTTAATTAAGTTATTAATTTATTCATGTAATTTATGAATTTATTCACTGAACAAATTGTTATTGATTACATATTGTGCCCACCAAATTTTTATATTACTAGGGTAGTGCACAGATGAAAATCTCTGGCCTCCTAAATTTTGCCTATTACTTAGAAAAGAGAGAAAATAATGTAGTAGGCATGTTTATAACAGGTAGCAATCTACACCAGAAGAAAAGCAAAGCAGCCTAAACGAGCAAAAGTCTTTGCTGGTGCTTTTAGTTCACATGGTCAAGGGAACACAGCTGATGGTGACGATGGCTATCTGAACAACAACTAGGTGAAGGAGGGGAGTATGCCACACAGTCATCTGGGTGCAGAGGGTTCTAAGCCAAGTAATTATCAATGTGAAGCAAGTTCCTTGACCATCAGACTTCACATTAATCAGAAACCCTATAAAGCCTACTGGAACCCAGAGTCAGGTCAGTTTGCAGTACGTAGCGCAAAAGTCACATGTTAGAGGTCGGGCTTAAGAGTGGACGAAAATAAAATTAGAGAGCACATTACCCATTCTACATTCAGCTTAACTGGCATTGTAGCTACTATGATCCCCTTAATGACACTGCAATGCTGTTGGGTTATAAGATATTGGTAAAGGAATGCAAAAGATGTCAGGGCTTAGCTTGAATTTTTACTCAGTGTAATTTGGCAGTAAACTAAAAGAAAAAGATAAAAGATATGAGTTACTACTGGAAAAAAAGTATAGACTATTAAGGTATCATATACTATCCAAAAAATAGTGGATTTTCAGATGACTTTTATTAGGTTGTAAAAGTGACCAAATTTAACAGGTTCAAATATGTAAGTTTCCCTAAAGACATAAAAATGAGGCAAAAGTGCATAAATTTTAGTGTCTTATGTGTTTGATGTAGACACTAGATTAAGTATCAATTAAGAAATACTCAGTAATTAATTTACAAAAAATATAAGATTTGAAGTTACCCTAAGGTTTTAGAGACATTAAAAAGATATACTGTAAAGAAACATATGGCTCTAAAAAGTAGAAAATGTATACTCATAAACCCAGCTAATCTACTGCAAAATGCTGAACCATAACACTTTATAGTTATTTGTCTCATAATTTTCTCTATAAAATGAAAATTACTGTGATTAAAAATTATAAATCACTCTTCTAAGAAAAAGAGCTATGAAATCAAGATTATACAAAACATACAAGATAGTCTTTTGTTAAAATATGATATTGTTCTAACATAAGGTGATTAATTGTTACAAATCATGTGAGAGAAATCCTAACTAAATGTTGGAGGTTATATATGATTCATCAGGTAAATTATTTGTCTTTATTAATGGTGGCTAACATTTAAAGGTTTATAGATGATTTTAAAAATAGTATCAAATATTATCCTGGTGTAAAACTAAAACTTGATTTTTCTCTCTACGGAAATAAAATTTTGTTGAATGTTTGATCTACTCTTAAACTACTGGAAAGCAATTGTTATGGTTTGTCTTTCGATGTTCCCTCGAAGTCTCATGCTGTCATATGCGGGGCTTTTTGAGAAGTGGTTGGATCCAGGGTGTGTGGTTGATTCACGGTGCAATGTTAGGATTACAGGGGGATGGATTAAGGGTGGGTGATTACTAAATCACTCCACTGATTGGTTTGTCAATTGCTCTAATCCTGGTAGCCTAGATAGAATATAAAAGATGCAGAAAGGAAGTTTCGTGGTCCCTTGCTTGCTTTGCTGTCTTGTGCCATCATGAACTATTTCTCCTCTGTGATGTCTGTCTACCATGCCACCCTGCCCTGGAGCGAGCTGACTGTGAACTGAAACCTCTACAAACTCTTGCAAAATAAACCGTTCCTCCCTTCACTTTGAATGCTAGGTACTTCATCTCAGGAAGGAGGAAAGTAACTAAGACAGCAATTTGAAGGACTTTTGTATATTATACTTAAAAGGCAAACATTTGAAACAGAATATTTTTCTCTGCTTTATGGTGGCTTCTTCATATCTTTAATAATTCAAAAATAATGCCCAGATTCTGCTCAGTGTCATATGAAACAATTTCAACCCTGTGCATGGACAAGACACATAATTCAATACAATTAAAAGGAAAAATGAGCAATAAATACTAAAGGCATACCTGGACAATTTGATACAATGGAATGTAGAAATGAAATACTACTGTCAGATGGAATAAACTCTGTGCTAGACACCTTTCAGTAGGGTAGAGCATAAAAAATAAACCAAATAAAATGATATAAAATTTATTAATGGCACAGACATAAATCCATATGTTGCATAAAAAGAACAATGAACATGTGAAGCAAAAACTGCCCAAAATTCTAGCTGGATCTGAATAAATCCAATCACTCTAAAGCCATCATTTTTTTATTGTTAAAGAGATTAATAGACATATGTATGAAAAATTTTTGTTTCCAACACAAAAGATTTACATCTAATATTCTGCTGAGATTCACTACACATAAAAGAAATGTGTATTTCTTTTAAAAGAAATACATATTAAAGGTAAAGTGAACTATAATAACACAGAAGAATGGGAAAAGTTAAAAAGATTGGCAAAACATTTGGCTAGTTGGGAAGCAGTCAATATTTAACTCTACACCTCACCAGAAGAAATTTGAAGAACATAAGCCTTTTACAAAGCAGTCCAGCAACATTTATTATCATTTGCAATTTTAAATGCGTGGACATTTTGTCCCACTACTTCTAATGCTTGGAAATTTTTTTCATAGAAACAAACGCTTACAGTTGCAGCATTCATTTTCATGGAGAAAATAACAGGTGCAATTATTAAGGCACTGATTTATTTAATTACAGCAGAGCCACACAATGTAGTATATTGACAGGTTCTTTACTTCATTCATTCATTAAGTCTACTCATTTGTGTTATATGAATACTATGTGCTAAAAACAAAACTCTATCAATACAATGATGAGTAAAAATCTCTAACTTCATTGAGTTTGCAGTAATCTACTGCAAGAGAGAATATAAAATAAATGAGTAGATCATCACTGTGCAAACATTGAAGGAAAAATAAAGACAAGGAGATGAGGAGTATAAGGTTGGATTGGGTATTAATGAATTATATATATGATGGGATTAGAGAAAAATTCTCTGTGAGAGTGTCTAGCTCTGAGCAGGTGAGTGGGGCATTTCTTGGCTGTGAAATTATTCCATGCATCCTGGAGGATAACCTCTTCTGAAAAGTTATGCTTGCTTGGCCGCTGACTACCTGAGAGAGTACAAAAGACTCTGAAGCCTTCATTGTGCAGTGCAATGCAAAGTTAAGCAACTCCAAAGGAACTTCTTATGATCAACCCACTATTTTAAGGGAGATCATAGCCTAGAAAAGGAGATGATATCATGAATGTGGATGATTAACCAGGCACCTTGCTGAAGGCTTTACAAAACTCTTTTAATCAATTTCTAAATCTATTTGGGAAATTAGTTTGAAAACACGATTAAAGGAGAAATTTAAGAGCATGATATTTTCAAGTAAGATTATTGGAGAGACACAGGTCGATATGAAATTTTTTAATTTTTAAAAAATCAATATGGAAGTTTCTAAGGAATCCCTTCATTCTACAACAATTTGCTTTAGGACCATGAAAAAATATACAATTAATCATTATTTCTCTGAAGTAAGTCCAGGCTGAAAGGCATGAACAAACACAGGTGCCAAAAATATAATCAAAGAATTAAAAAATAAATATCAGAAATACTTCTAAAGTGTTAAGGAAGTAGTATAATTTCACTCTAAAATTCATGAGGAGAAAAAATATATATATTTATCACACTTTGAATGATTATCTTTATATCTAGAGGTAGTAGTTTAATTGTACTACTATATTAAATTATTAGAAAATATATGTAAGATTCATAAACACAAAAGGTTAAGGTTATACAAAATACATTAATTGTAAAAATAAATCCAATAAAGCATTTTTTTTAAATATAAACTGTAGATAATTTTGCTTAGCTTTTGATTTTATTAAACATTACATTTTGAGGGTTAGAAGTGAGAATGTACAGTTAGGCCACTCCGATATGCAATGAAGGCTCCACCCTGGCACTGCTCTGTCAGATCAGAGACATGGCATATATTGTAATTTCTGCCATTTCACCTTTTCTCTCCTCTTTTAGAGGAAATATTTCAATCTTTACAAGATTAGACCCATGTTTCAATATTATTTTTCTATGAGTTAAATGTAAAACATTCTATACAAATGAAGATAAAATGAAAAGTTCATGAAATTACTCAACAGGTAATCTATTTTAATTTGCAATTTATATTTCTGAGGAATTAAAATGTGAGATCATTATACAGATTATGAAAGAATGTTTTCAGAATTTGTGGCTCTTTTATTTATCTTCAGTCATCACATTTCATTTGTAGATATTTTCTATTGTCCAGAGATCCATTATATACACAGCTAACTTAAAGATGCATGAAAATTCAAACTTGAAATGTGTTAACATCCAGGGAAGACTAAATGTGTTTTGTAAGACTATAGAACCAAAGATTTCATTCCAAATATTTTATCCTTATTTCTATGTCATTCTACTCTTTTCCGCTTTGATAAAATATGGAAAAAATTTTCGTGTCTGTATTTTTAACTGAATCCAAATACTCTCTGAGAAAACATTTCTTCTTCCAAGAATCAGAGTTTCCCCAGATGCTTCCTTTCCTTGCAAAATACTCCTGCAGTGTGTGGAAGAAAGAATGATGTTCTAAGTTTGTTTAACATCTAATTAAAGAACAAACATCAAAATAGTGTTTTGTTCTAAGTAATTCCTGAGATATAAAGTATCATCTCAGAAAAAATAATACTTATCAATTAAGACATCTTACTGCTTCTTTCGGGCCTCAGCAATGCTTTTGTCTTCTTATTTTGGCTTCCACTTTCATGAAGGGCTTTGAACCAGTCCCGTAATCGATTGGCCACTTCCCTGAATTCCACGTCACTGCATGCTGAAAACACAGAGAAACAACGTAAATCCTTAATTACAATTTCTCAGGATGCCGGTACTGTTTCTCATCTTGTTCCATCAACATGAACGGTAACAGAGGCTAAAAGAAAAAAAAAATCAACTGTTTTGATTGCTTTTTTAAATCAAAAATCAAATTGATGCTTCAAACAATAAGATTTGATATAAAAATAGCATTCTATTTAAAACAAGAACAGTTTCAGTAGAATGTAACTTTCACCCCTTGAAGAAATAGAATTTTAACTGAAGATTCTTACTGTGAACATCACACAGGTTATGATATTCACGTGATGAGTATGGAATGAGAAAGAGGAGGGGTAACTGAAAAACACAGGGTTGGAAAATCCAAAATGAATATTGTACATTTATTACTGGCTTGGTCCACTGAATGTGTATGACTTAGAATTCTCTGTTGATGTACTCAATATATGTTGGGATGCACAAAATATATGCAGTTTATATTTAGTTTAACTCTCTATTTTTGAGCAAGAAATTGATGAATACATCCTTGGATGGTAGCAAAAAGTGAAAAATATATATAAGAAAATGATATCGTGTTTTGGTATAAAAATGATATACTAGAAGACTTGACATTTGGAATTTAAGGCTTTTGCCTTTTTATATATAATATTACTATTTGCTAATAGCATTATTTTAAATAATCTACACAGTAAACAATGACAGAACACTGCGTGTGCATGATTAATGTGAAAATATGGCACTGAAATTCAAGACTACTTTCTAACTGCTTTGAAAATATAAAGGAAACAATTACTTCGATCTACTCCTGCAGACTTATCTCCTCAGCCTGTTGCCAAGATACGGGTTTCTCAAAATTCTTAAATTTCTTAAAATTTAAATTAATTATTTTGTCAAAAATAATATGGGGCCAGGGATATAGCTTAGTGGCACAGTGCCTGCCTGGCAAGTGCAAGTCCTGCGTTCTATTCCCAGTACTACTACTACTACTACTACTACTAATAATAATAATAATAAATAATATATAAGAAGAATACAGAAATCAGATTGCCGTCACATTTTTCCATAGCAACTGTTTCAGTCAGCTTTGTGTCACTGCAACCAAATACCTGAAAAAGCCAACTTAAAGGATGAAGAGTTTATGATATAATGATCAGTTGGCTCCATTGCTTCTGGGCTCGTGCTATAGCTGAACAGATGGTGAAAAGTATATGGCACAGGAAAATATGGAGATTCTTTAAGAACTAAAACCAGAGGTTTTACGTGACCCAGATATTCCCCTCTTAGGTATCTTCCTTAAAGAGATAAAGACATCATAGCATGGTGATACACACCTATCTGTGTTTATAGCAGCATAGTTCATGACAGCTGAATCTTGGAACCAGCCTGTCTGTCTATCAACAGATCAGTGCATAAAGCAAATGTGGTATTTATATACAATGGAGTATTACTCCGCTACAAAGAAGGATAAGCTTTAGGCAGTTTTTTAGGTCAATGGATACACCTTGAGACCATAATTTTTTTTTTTTTTTTTTTTTGGTTTTTCTCCGGTACCGGGAACCGAACTCACGACCTTGCGCTTGCCAGGCAGGCGCTTTTTGCCGCTGAGCTAAATCCCCAGCCCAGAGACCATAATTTTAAGTGAAATAAATCAGGCATACAAGTTCAAATATCACTTTACCTCACTTATGTAAGAAATCCAAAGTATAAATAAGGAGCAGAATGTCAGAGAGAGATATTAAGAAGTAAGAAGAATGTGCTCACATTGGAAGGAGAACAAGAGATGGAGGGGAGGAGAAAAGGAAAGGAAAAGGGACTTCTTTATTTTTAAAGAGAAAAAAATACACAATTTCAAAACAAGATAATAGGAGATTAACAATGCTTCACATATTTCATGTTGTTATCATCAAAATAGGTGCTCCGATTACAAGATACAGGCATGGAAAAGGGATTGAAAGACAAAAAAGAATTAAAAGAAAAAATTAGAAATAGAGCTTTTATTGATGTGGAGGGGAAGAAGGGTTAAAGGAAGGGAAGGGAAACAGAACCAAAAAATTTAAGATGTGCTACATACATATATATACATTTCCCACAATGAATGTAATCATGTACTGCTGATATGAAATAATAGCTGAGTGGCATGGCGCCTGGCAAGCACGAGATCCCGAGTTCAAGTCCCAGTTCCAAAACTAAAATAAAAATAAAATGAAATAACATAAACTATATAGGGGCTGGGGATTTAGCTCAGAGGCACAGTGCCACCCTGGCAAGCGCAAGGTCGTGAGTTTGATTCCCGATACCGGGAAAAAAAAAACCTATAATACAATATATAAAAAAGTACAAAAAGTAGCTCACTTCATCTCAACCAGGAAGCAGAGAGAGAGAAGAAAACCAGAGCCTGAACGAAGGAGGCGAGGGGTGAGATAAAGTGCTCAAGGGGCACAGCAATGCTCACGCAGTTAACGATGCCCCACTTTCTACGTTTTCATCATCTCCCCGGAGCAGCATCAAATTAGGAATACATTACTATGTTACTTTTGAAGTTAGGGCCCTCTTGATCCAATCTTCCTGTCAAAGCCACACCACAGAATATTGCTGCAGCAGGGCCAAGTCTTCCATACAAATTAGCTGTGATCCAAAGTGCAGCAGCAGCAGCAGTAGGAGGCCTAATAACAGGAACTTCCCTGCAGAATTGTAAAGTTCCTCTGTCCACAGCAATCAGGTGTCAGAGAATGCTGAAGTGATTTTTCCACTGTACAAGATCCCAAATTAATCAACCATATAATCTTTCTTTCCACAAAGCTCCCAAAAGATGTGATACATTGGAGAAAAAAAAAATATGAAAGAAAATGGCTGATAACAGGAAATGACAAATGTAAGACAAAAGCAAAGGGAATTTCTATGAAGATGGTAAAATGCAGTTTCAGAGTGCATGCCGTGTGCCATACGTAGATGAAGAAGTAGTAGGTGTGAAAATTCTTGGCCAGAGACAAAGCAATTTAGCTCTTTTATTGTTAAAGGAAAAAAAAGTATAAAGGGAGAAAAATAATCACTTTTATTGATGAATTCAATTAACTAAAGGTGAGTGGTAAGACCTTCAATGTTATATTCCTAATATAGATATTTACACTTTAGCCTGGGATTCCCTATTTAAATCAACATCTTGGCAAGTGTCTTTTGCTCCTCATGAACAAGCACATGGAAAAAAATAAAAGCTTACACAAATCAGGGGAAATCTGCACAGCATGCAGGCTTATCTACACATCAGCTAGCTCTAGATGTATATAGATGAAGCTGACAGAACTATCAGAGAAAGTTGCACAAGTCCTATATTTACCACTCTTTCTTTCTCCCTTTATTTTCAATTCTACATATTTGTCTTACCAGTAAAACAGAAAGAAATCAAAAATTCCTTTAAAAATAAGTATAAATTGATCCAGCCCTCCACCCAACTGTTCTCTATTTAACAAATTTACCCAGCAGGTGTGCTACACCTATACAAACACATTCACTTGAATTGTTCAATATTATTTATTTAGCACTTTTTAACAGCTAATTTGTTAAAAAAGCTTTTATTAACAATGGCTTGGTAATATTAATGAGATATTTACAACCAATGAAGTCTATGCGATATTAAAAGAAATAAGGAATCTATTACACATGAAAATCACACTATGGCTTTTGTTTTAAAAAAAAACATAAAAAGGAAAACAGGTGACATTTATATATTTTCATTTGTACAAAAAGGTAGAAAAAATGAATTTGCTTACATGTACCTAAAATATCACTACAAATATACAGAAGAGACTGGCACAGTTTCATCTCTACAGTGGGAATTAGGTATGGAGGAGCATTTCTAATATATACATATTTATACTTTTAAAAGTTAAAATGTTTAAAAATTAATAGCTCACACAAACAGAAAACATTTAAAACCTGAATTTGGGTTCTTTTTTTAATCTCATAATTCTTTCATAAATCACACCTAGCAGGAAGCTAGGTTTTATCCAATAAGATACCTGCTAAAGAATGAAAAAGTGTTTTGATGAACAGGCAGGCACAATGTAAAATACTGTGTTTTAAAATTTGAATGTAGTAATATAGTGCCTACTATCTCTGTGCAATAGAATATTCATGAAATTGTGTGATTTTTAAAGGAAACAATATATATTTAAGATTAACAATATTAAAGTGTTTACCCAAATGTGAGACTTTATATACCCTTATTGCATATATTCATGGTTTAAATTTCTATACAAGGTTATGTGTGTATTGTAATGGGATTCTCCAGAAATTAAGAATTCCGTGGTAATAATAATATTAATAATACAAATAAGAGTTCACATTTAGTACTTATACTAACACAGGTAATCTTTTCAAAAACTCTATGAAATTTTCTTTAAAAACTGACAAATTGAGGAACAGAATATTGAAGAACTTCTCTGAATTCAGGTAACTGGCAAAGCTAAGTTTTAAATCAAGGGGTTAGGATTTGTGAATCCAAGGTCTTAACCTGTACAGCAAATCATCTTAGAAATAACAATTGAAATTAATAGAGTAGTGAATGCCAATTTAGGATAAAAATTCAAGCATGGCTTCAATCTAAGCTTGCAAACTTCCATTTCATTAAATGATGGTAGGAAGAATGTGAGTTCTTCACCAATTTCAGTGATGTCTGATGTAAGCAGTACACATTTTAAAAAGAAAACACAAAACCTGTGCAGTATAATTATATTTTCTTCACTTTAGAGGAATCACATTTTCAAGTCCACATCTGAAACCAATTAAAAACAGATCACAAGGATCTTATTGAGCAACAAGCTACATTACATGCTGTCATAGATTTCACACAAGCTGATAAGGGACCATGATAGGAATTTCTCAATATGACACATTTCACATTCTTATTTTCTTTCACAGAGACCATAATAATGTTATCATTCTTTGGAAGTCAGAACTCTATCTGTTCTTATCACATCAACAAAATAAAACACCGATCTCCTG